CTCCCTCTCTCTCAAAATAAATAAATATTTAAAAATAATAATTATAGGGGATGGGCATGGAGGAGGGCACTTTGGGGATGAGCACTGAGTGTTATGTGGAAACTAATTTGACAATAAACTATTTATAAAATAATAATAATAATAATAATTATAAATCAAAAGCAAAAAATAAAGATAAGGTTTCTGCTGTTTGGGGGCTTATAGGTTAATGGGGGAGGCAGATGATAAACTCACAAATAACAGCAACTGTTTCTATTGTGCTTACTATGTGCCGGGCACAGTTCTAAGTGTCTCTAAGTTCTTCATATAAATTAAGACATTTAGCCCTCATAACAACACCAACACTATCAGGTAGGTTTGGTAGTATTCCTATTGTACAGTTGTGAAAACTGAGGTGCAGAGGTTAAGTTACTTGTTCACAGATGGTAAATATCAAAGCCAGAATTATAAACCCACGCAATGTGGGTCCATTGCCTGTGCTCTCAACAGAGGACCAGCAACTACAACCCTCCTGTGGCTAGTTTTTGTATGGCCTGAGGGTCAACAAAGGTTTTTACATTAAAAAAATTTTCTTAATTTATTTTTGAGAGACAGAGAGAGAGAACGCAAACAAGGGAAGAGCAGACAGAGAGAGGAGACACAGAATCTGAAACAGGCTCCAGGCTCTGAGCTGTTAGTACAGAGCCCGACGCGGGGCTGAAACTCACAAACCTCAAGATCGTGATCTGAGCTGATGTCCGACGCTTAACCAACTGAGCCACCCAGGCGCCCAGGTTTTTACATTTTTAATGATTGAAAGAAAAGAATATTCCATGATATGTGAAAATTACACAGAATTCAAAGTCCATTGTCCATAGATAAAGTTTTACTGAAACCTAGCCATACTAATTCATTTAGGTATGGCTGTTTCACCTGCTGCAATGGCAGAGTTGACTCATTACTACAGACACCATATGACCCACAAAACCTAAAATGTTTACTATCCAGCCTTTTACAGAAAAAGTTTGCCAACTCCCGGCCTAAACCACACACACTATCCTTGGGGCACCTAGGTGGCTCAGTCGGTTAAGTGTCCGACTTCAGTTCAGGTCATGATCTTACTGTTGGTGGGTTCGAGCCATGTGTCTGGTTCTGTGCTGACAGCTGAGAGCTTGAGCTTGCGTCAGATTCTGTCTCCCTCTTTCTCTGACCTTCCCCTGCTCTCTGTCTCTCAAAAATAAGCATTTTTTAAAAGTCTGTTAAACCACCACTATCCTCAAAAAATAAATAAAATACATTGACTAATAACGGAGAGCTAAAGTGCTATGAATGTACTAAAACAGGCTGGTTTGTAATAAAGACTTAATGGAAAGAGTTCCCTCTGGAGAGGTGACATTTGAGCTGACAACCTAAGGCAGGGAAAGGGTGTGTCAGGCAAGGGGATTAGTAAGGGCAAAGGCCCTGAGATAGGAATGAACCCCAGTGAAATTTAAGCAACAACGGAAGGCCCAGATATTTCCAAGTGTAATGAAAGCAGTGGAAAGTGAAGTTGAAGAACAGGTGCCTCGCAGGTCAGGCAAGCCTTACGGGCCAGGAAAGCCCTTTAGATTTCATTCTAAGGTCAACAAGAAGCTGAGAAAGGCTTTAAGCCAAGAGAGAGGTCTGATCCACTACTGTGCGGAGAGTATAGGGGGGTGTAGTCCACAACAACGGTCAGGAGGGAGCTGACCAGGGCCTGGTTTGGAGTGGTGACAGTGTCATGTCACCGCATGGGCCAGACGATGCCCATGGAGTCAGGGGTATGGTAAGGAGTCCAGAAAAGACGAAGAGCGCCAGATAAGGCTTATCACGGTCCCAGCGGAGCAGGAGCAGAAGAGAACCAGCGGAATCCGGAGGCAGGGAGATGGGAGGCGGGCACTGGCCTTGGCCGGCCTATAGGCTCCGGGAGACGGGGAGGCGGGCCCGCGGTGCATGGCGGGGCAAGGAGCTGATAGAAAGCGGTGGGCGGGGGGGTGAGGGGGGCAGCGGTGGCAATAGGCTTCGAGTCGAAAGGCGGGAAGTGAGGCGGCGGGGTGGGAGTGGCTGAGCGTGGGGTGCAGGCTGGGGAAATAGAAGCGCGCTGGCGCGGGCCGCCTAGCGGAGGAGGTGGCAACGCTCCTCTCGGCCTCCAGGGGGAGCCCTGCCGCGGCGGCGGCCCTCCGCCCCTCGGCCCTCTGCTCTCTCCGTCCGGCCCCGCCCCCTCCAGTACCTCCACTCCCCGATACCCAGGAAGGCCCCGGTGGGGGTGAGAGCTTGCTTTCGCTTTCCCTTCCCCGTGCGCACTCCGCTTCTCGTGCGGCGCTAGACCCCCCGCCCCGGCCATGGCCACGCTCAGGGTCCAGCCTGAAGCCCAAGCCAAGGTGAGCGGTGCGGGATTGAGGAAAGGCCCATTAGGGAGGCGTGGCTCCGAAAGGCTGCAGGCGTCCATGACCCACCCCCCTAACCCCCGTCGCTAGTCCTTTCGGTCGAGGTTGAATGGAGCCCACGCGAGCCTCCGTGCCAGGAGCACCTGTGCCGGAGGGAGACAGACGTGGTCCACCTGCCGGGAGAAGCTAGGCGGCCGAGGTTCAGCGGGGTGCGGTGAAGCGGAGAGCTGGCGTGGAGGGGAAGTCCGCTGGCGTGGGGCCGGGGCCACACACAGACAGGGTGCCGGAGCTGCCCTGCCACCTCATCTTTCCCACGGGAGAGCCCTGGGCCCACTCCACAGAGCACGCCGTCCCAGCGCCAGTGGTAGAGGCTCTTACACCCTTCCTTGTACAGCCCAGGAGACCAAGGGATCTGTTCTCACTTGGACCACTTGCCCTTCACCGCCAGGAATGTTCTCATCCCCCACATCCAGCCCCAAGGGGATCCACTTCACCCTCCCCAACCCCACCCGCTTCCCCAGGTCAGGCCCTACACAACCCTAAGGGAACGGTCCTCAAATGAGCTGGCTGTTAAGCCAGGTTTGTGAAGGGCTGCCTGTGTCCCACAGGTGGATGTGTTCCGTGAAGACCTGTGTACCAAGGTAAGTAACCTGCCCCATGAGCACGCCAACCCTATCGAACTCCCACCGCTCAGCCCTGCCTTACTGGGCAGTGTGAACGCTGCTTCACTGCCTGAAGAACATTTGATTCTGATCCCCATCTTCCCCCCACCCCCACTTCACACAGACAGAAAACCTGCTGGGGAGCTACTTCCCCAAGAAGATTTCTGAGTTGGATGCATTTTTAAAGGTACTGGGGGCAGCAGGAAGCTGGATAGTAAAGATCAAGGGGAGAGTCTGGGGGGCCATGAGAGTGAGGTGAGAAGGATGCCCTTGCCTCCAGCCCTCCTCCCACCTTGCACCAGGAGCCAGCTCTCAATGAAGCCAACCTGAGCAATCTGAAGGCCCCATTGGACATCCCAGTGCCTGATCCAGTCAAGGAGAAAGAGAAAGAGGAGCGAAAGAAGCAGCAGGAGGCAAGCCAGGAAGAGCTGGGAGGAGGGACCCAACCATGGGGAAAATCAGCCTTAGTTAGGCCTGACTCCCAAGAGCCCCTATCTCTCTGCAGAAGGAAGACAAAGATGGAAAGAAGAAAGAGGAAGATGAAGACAAAGGTACCACTATGAAGGAACTTGAGGCTCACATTCCAGGAGCTCCTCCTGTAGGAGTTCCTCTTCCCTGCTCCTCACACAGTCCCAGCCTGGTGACTGACCCATTGCCCACTGCCTAGGTCCTCCCTGTGGGCCAGTGAACTGCAATGAGAAGATTGTGGTCCTCCTTCAGCGTCTAAAGCCTGAGATCAAGGATGTCATTGAGCAGCTCAACCTGGTGAGCCCTCCCACTCCTGCCCCCAGACTTCAGATCTAACTCTTTGTCTTCCTTGGTCCCTGCCAGGTAGCACTTGGCACCTCTCAGGTCTTAGCAGGAGAGGGCACAGTAAGTGAAGCCAGAATTGTAGGGCTTGGGGCTCAGGACAGACCTGGCACACCTTCCCCCGCCATGGGCAGGGAAGCAAAGGACAAGAACCTGGGAATTAGGTTGGGAGCTCATGTGGCTTTGATGCCATTCCCTCCTTCCAGGTCACCACCTGGTTGCAGCTGCAGATACCTCGAATTGAAGATGGGAACAATTTTGGAGTGGCTGTGCAGGTGAGAGCACTACCCCACTCCTCTGCCCTCCTTACTGCTTCAGTCCGTGCTGCTTTCCAGTTTCCCCCTTGCATTCTTTCCCCAGGAGAAAGTGTTTGAGCTGATGACTGCCCTTCACACCAAGCTGGAAGGCTTCCACACACAAATCTCCAAGTGAGTCACTGCCCACTTGCACCTGCATGCATACTCTGCCTTTTCCTTGGATAGAAACCTAGGCTCCCTCTCTTCCTTCTGCTCCATACACTTCTATTTCCTACAGGTATTTCTCTGAGCGGGGCGATGCTGTGACCAAAGCAGCCAAGCAGCCCCATGTGGTAGGTGAGGCCCAAGTCAGGGTGCATGGTGGGGGAAGGAGATATCTGAAGTCAGACCTGACCCAAGTCTCCCACAGGGTGATTATCGACAGCTGGTGCATGAGCTGGATGAGGCAGAGTACCGGGACATCCGGTTGATGGTCATGGAGATCCGCAATGCTTATGTGAGGAAGCAATGGCAGGGGTGGGCAGAGGCAGTTTTCCCAGGCCACCTACTCCCTAACCCTGCAGGCTGGGGGTGAAGGGTGACAGAGCTTAGCCTCTCCATAAGACTAGAAATGGGGCACAGGAGCCACTGGGGGCCTGTGGCTACCCCCATTCCTCTCTGGCCCTGTAGGCTGTGTTATATGACATCATCCTGAAGAATTTCGAGAAGCTCAAGAAGCCCAGGGGAGAAACAAAAGGAATGATCTATTGAGAGCCTCTTCTCATCCTGTAATGGGTCCAGCAGAGACCTTCCTATCTTTTACACAGGACTCCAGACTTTTCCGCCACCTTTAGCCTGTTGAGGTTTCTCCCTCCCCTGCCTCCCAGGCCCAATAAATAGTCATACCATTGCCCTTCAGCCCAAGTGTCTTTATTGGATCCTGACCCTCTCCCTTCCACCTCCCAGCCCTGGTTCAGGTATTTCCATTGGTGGGACCAACCCATTGGGTGATTTGGGTGTTAAGCTGTTGGTTGGTCCAGTCCTGCCGGATGTCATCAAGGTGGCAGTCAAAGTCCACAAGGTGCTGGTGGGCCCGGCCCTCCAATAGTGCTCCCACCATCTGCCGTGACTCTTCCCAGTCCCTCCACATCACTCTGAAATGATAACCCCCATGGAGGTCAAACTCAGCAGGCAGTGCCACCAGATACGTGGCAGAGGTTAGGGTCTAGAGAAGGACCCTTGGGGCAAGATCAAGGACAAAGGAGGCCCAGGAGCTGTGGGTTTCCAAGAAGAGGTGGTGGGACTGGGGCACTCACAAGTTCTTGTCCTTGGGGACCCAGCGGAGACCGTGGTTTTCCAGGACGATGACTGGGGGCACATGAGGCTGAGACACCAGTTTCTGATTATCCAACTGTGTGGACAAGGAATTTGTCCTTGAGGGCTTCAAGGACGCCACTTCCTATTTTCTCATCAAGTCTCCACCCTGAAACCCAAGCCTCACCATAATAAGTACTGCATCAGGGAAGAATTCTGCAATCCGCCCAGCGATTTTCAAGGCCAAGGGCCCAGGGCTGTGTAGAGGGAAGGAAGATCAGAGGAGTGAAGAGCTGACTAGATACAGACCCTGTCCATCTGAGCTGGGCCTCCGGGGTCTTCTAAATGGGGGCAGTATGGTGGCCTTTCCCTGTAACTGGCCAGAGGAGTCAGGCCTGCCTGAAGCTTCATACACGACTGCTTAATGCTTGGGTTCCGTGGGAAATGGTTGCTCAGACTGTTGGTCAAGGTGGAAATCAAAGGTGGTCTTTTGGTAGGGTAATTTGGCCTAACCACCCAGATTTAAACAGTATACTATATATATGCTGAACCAGAAAATCCACTTAAAAGAACCTACTGTAATAATTGGACAGTGTCTGTATTAACCAAAAATTGGAAACAACCTCAGTGTTTAAGGCATTAAATAAATCATGGTATATCCATCCATACTCCTAATATACAGCTGCCAGGCTAAGGTAAATCTTGGTGTAGAGATGGAAAAATGGCATATATTTACTAAGTGAGGAGAGAAAAGCAAATTACAAAACTATAATTTGATCCAGATATTAGATTCATATGTAAGTATATAACTTTATATATAAGGAAATTTCCTTTTTTTTTTTTTTTTGAAGTTGTGGGTTGGGCTTCCTCTGTGTTCTGGCAGCACTTGGGGGGGGACAGCACCTCAGTTAAAGCTAGGTGTCCGCTTGTTATTGATACACAGCTATCCCCCCACACCCGCACCACAGCTCCTCCAGGGATTGCCTTCATATTTATTTATATGCCTTCGCTCTGGTACCCAGCCTAATGCCTGATGTATATAGTCCCTGCTCCTAAGCATCTGATGAAGGAATGTTGGGAGGAATGACCAAGAAGGGTTCTCTTGATCCCTCATCTCATAACCCTCAGCCTTCTGCCTCTGGCTACTCCACTCACCTCTGATCGTCCAGAGCTGCATTGGCATGGTAGTACCCAGCCACTACCAGACCGGCCTGCGCGCCCCACACATCCACCTGCCGTGGGAAAGGGGCCATCAGAAACTCAGTTGTGCCGCCCGCCCTGTAGGTGGGCACTGCTGCCCAGAGGCCGGGGATGGGGTTGGGCTAGGAGTGTTAGGGGGGGTTCGCGGTGGTCAGTGGGAGTCCAGCGACGGCACCTGGTTGAGGGCGACCTCCAGCATGACGGACAGGGCTAGGTGGCTGTGGAACAGGGGCACACAGTCGGTGAGACACAGGCATTCTCCCGACCGCGGTGCGGGCGCCAGCAAGAGCCCGTTGACGGCGGCGTGCGGGTACCGGGCGGCGTGCAGACACATCTTCACGTAGGCCCGAGCCGAGATCTCCACCTCCCCCATGGCGAGCGGGGTCCCAGCTCTCGTCCGCGAAGCTCCCTCCAGCGCCCCAGAGCCTTCCTTGGCCCTTCCCTCTGCCTCCTCACTTAGATTCGGCAGTGACGCTGACTCGGCTCGAAGGCAGCCAGATGGCTCTGGGGTACCGGGGTCCCGACGCCGGGCCCCACCTGATTTGGGGCGCAGGCGGTCGGAATTGCACGTTACAACGCCGAGCTCCGCCTCCGCCCGCCCCCTTCGGGTGGCCGCTGATCCCCGCCTGCCTGGGGGCTCGCAGCCGGCTGCAGTGAGCAGCCCCAGCTTCTGGAGTCCCGCCCACGTGGTGCCCTTTGATAGGCTTAGAGGTTCTCATTTTGCCCAATCATCGGCTGCATCCACACTTTGCCCCACCTTTGTCTCCCGCGCACTGGAAAGGACCCACACCTGAAAGCTGAAGAGACCTGCCCGCTGGCTCATTGGCAAGGCTACTCGACTTCGGCCCAGAATTGCAGGATGGGTGGGCCTAATACCTGTGCATCTTCCCCCGCAGAACCCAGCAAAACCAGAGGGGGTGGAGCGCGCGCCCGGTGTCCGGTATCCCCGAGCGTTGGATCTCCGAACGTGGGCAAGAAGCCGACTACCTTACTTCTACTATGGAATGAGTGAATTTGTCCTCTAGACCAGCTCCTTCACCAAAGAGCTGTGTTCTTTGCCACCACAGGATATATGGCCCTTGGTTTCCTTAATGTATTCTCTGCAGAAATAAAGACAGCAATTGGCTGAAGGTAAGGGGAAAGAGGACAAAAAGGAATTTACAGACCCATCCTTCTTTTAATGAATGTCCTGCGGTAAAATTCCTTTCAACATAATGCCTTAGGAGCGTTTTTCCTCCCTGTCAACTCTTGAGGAGTCCCACTGTTCACCCATAATTCTTTCAGTGAAACCTCACTCCCTCTTCAGGGTTGCTCTGAGCTGATGACAGGTGTTCCTTCCTTCATTCTCTGATCTCAGCCATGGCGCTTTCTACTTGTCTGTTCAAAGCCTGATTATTCCTATAAGGGGGGGTCTTTTCAAAAGCCACTTCTTCCAGGAAGCACTCCTGAGCCCCCCAGATGGAAATAATCTGTATGGCTGTCATGACATGTCACAGTTTCCACTCTGTTCTTTAGGATGACTTCTTAAGACCAGAATGGGCTTCCCATTCATCTTTGCCATCATGGCATCCCCTCTCTTTCCCACCACCACATTCACATTCAGTGGCTGGACATAGGTAGCACTCAATAAATGCTTTTTGAATGAATGACACGCACCAGAGGTAATCCACACAAAGCATAGATCATTTATTTCCCTTCTGGCCCTGGGCTCAGTACATAGATGGCTTCTCTTCACCCTTTGGGTTGATAATTTTCTCTAGGTTGCTGCTGATGATATGATAAAGCTCAGCCTGGAAGGGCAGAAGGGTAGCAGTCAGGTTCTTGGCCTTTCCCTTATCCCCCTCAACAATCTCCCCTAGGGGCTTATTCCCCACTCACGTAGAAGGCCCTTAGGTCCAGCACCATGGCCCTGAGCTCCCCATAGGCTGCCTCATCTCGCTCATGTACCAAGGCCCGGTAGTCCATCTGGGATGTGGGAGGCAAAGCTGAGTCAGCCCCATGGGAGATTGGTACATTAATCTGGTTTCGTCATATAGGGAATAGGTAACTTGAGGATGAGCCCCTTCTCAGCATCAAAAAACGGAATCCCACAGGCTCAAGCAGAGAAAGGGGTCAAGGTTTTGAAGCCAAATCAGTTTTTCTAGCCAATGCTCTTGGCTTAATATTCTCTACATTGGGAAGATCATAAAATAGACAAGGAAGACCTTGATCCCCTCTTCCTTGCCCCACCCCCAGTCAACCTCAGCTAAAAGACTGGTGGACTATCCACTCACTACATGAGTCTCCTTAGAGGCCTTGGCCACAGCATCCCCACGTTCTGAGAAGTACCTGCCAAAAAGCAAGGGGATAACCATAGGAATGGGTAATAAGAGAGAGAGAGATACTCCCTCAGACCCTCCCCAAAGCCCCCCATCATCCTGATGAGACTGCCAAACTTTGGCAATTCCAAAGAAATGGTCCTTTAGCCGCCCATTCTGGCCCTCCAGTTGCCCTTACTTGGAAATGGTTGTTTGGAAGGCTTCCACTTTAGTCTTGACTGCATTCACCCTCTCCAGCACCTTCTCCTATGGTAACAAAAGAGATGAGAGGCAAGGAAAACACTTCATTTCCTCTGTCCCTCACTCACCCTCTTCCTCCTCCTAGTTCATGTCTAGCTCCTATCCCTCACTCCCCAAGTCTCTCCCTGCTCTCAGTGTCCTCACACACACTTTTCTTACCTGGATTGCCACTCCAAAGTCATTTCCATCTTCAATCTTGGGGATCAGGTGCTGAATCCATGTGATCACCTATATTAATGGTCACGTAGGAATCATTCAACAAACTTAACTGGGTTCTTCCTTTTACTACTACTTCCTAATAACAGCCATATTTAATTGAACACTTACTATATGCCAGCCATTGTGCTATATATATTTCATTTAATCTTCACAGCAGTCTTGGGATGCCTGGATGGTTCACTTGGTTAAGTATCTGACTATGCCTCAGGTCATGATCTCACGGTTCATAAGTTCAGGCCCTTTATTGGGCTCTCTGCTGTCACCTTAGAGCCTGATTCAGATCCTCTCTCCCCTTCTCTCTCTGCCCCCGCATTGTCTCTATATCTCAAAAACAAATAAACATCAGAAAATCTTCAGGGGTGCCTGGGTGGCTCAGTCAGTTGAGTGTCTGGCTTCGGCTCAGGTCATGATCTCATGGTTCATGGGTTCAAGCCCCACATCAGACTCTGTGCTGACAGCTTGGAGCCTGTTTGGAATTCTCTGTCTCCTTCTCTCTGCCCCTCTCCCACTCATGCTGTGTCTCTCTCATTCTCTCCCCAAAATAAACAAACATTTTAAAAAAATTTTAAAAAATCTTCACAGCAGTCTTTCAAAATACATACTCTTATTGTGCCCACTTAACAGATGAGAAGACTGAGTTCCAAAATGTCCCAAGGAACTTAAGGTCACCAGCTAGGTGAGTGATAGAGTCAGGTTTTGAACCCAAGCAGTCTCCCTTGAGGACCCAAGCTCTTAAACCAACTCACTATGGCATAGCACCTACATGGTGTACTTGGTACAGTGGTGGGTTCTGACACTATGGAGGTGGATACAGCACAGTCTCTGATTATGGGGATACCACTGTGATATCAGAGGTCTAGCAGAATGAGAACACAAGATATATAACCTCAAGGCACTGAGGAAGTTTCCTATTTCAGCAATTGGTCCCTGGTTGGAGGACTTGTATCTCTGAAGGAGACTAGGGTCTAGCCTGGCTTGTCTTCCCTTTCTCCTTCCCCCAGTTGCCAAGCTTACCAGGATGCATTTTTCTTTGAGAGTCCACACTTCTGGCTTAACCAGGGCAAGTAGGGCGAGAACCTTCTCATTTCCAGGGAGAAAGCCACACTTAGGGACTGTGAAAAAGAAGGCATTCAGGCCCCTTCTCATCCAGCAGTCAATGTGCCATTTCCTCTTCCCTTGCCACCTCTTTCTCTCTTACCTTCTTTCTTCTCCTGCTTATCTGTTTCCATCTAAGGTAAAAAGGGGGACAGCAGCTTTAGAAACGTCTTGGAGGTTGGAGGGTTATCTTCCCCACCTGCTTTATAGTATGACCCCTGCACCCTGAGTGCCTCACCTCATCATCCTTGGGTGGGGGGTCTGGGATGGGGATGTCCAGTGGGGCCCGGAGAGAGGTCAAGTCAGCCACGTTGAGGGAGTCCTCCTGCAAGAGCTCACCGTCAGCAACTGCCCAGCCTATTCCCCTCATTCCGAGTCACAATCTTCCCTCCACACAGACCACCCACCCTGCTGTCTAGGCTCAGGCCTCACACCATCCTAACATTTCCATTTCTCCACTCATAACTGTTCTCTGCATGCTGAGCCCAGGTGTTTGCTAGAGGGAGTGGGTGGAGAGGAGAGAGGCCTTGGGATGGGGTCGGAGGGACCCACACTACTTACTTGCAAGAGTTGATTCAGGTATATGATTTTTTGTGGCAAGAATCTGTAGAGGAATTCCTCTGCCTGTGGGTTACATTGCAAGGGTGAAGAATCTCAGAAGATGCTCAAGACATGTCTGAGAAGTAGGACTGGAAGGGCCCTTGTAAATCATTGACTCCAATAATTACAAATAAGGAAACTGAAGCCATGAGAAGTGAAGGGACTTGCCCAAGCTGGGAAGTGGCAGAACCAAGGTTAGGACTTTGGGGCCAGAGCTTTCCCCCTCCACACCTAAAGAGAGGAGAGGAAGTGGCAGAAGTGGAGAGAATACTAAGAGGGGTCAAATTAAAGGGAGATATGAATAATTAGCCGTAGGTGAAGGTTTGAAAAGGGAAGTCGGGCCCAGGGTGGGTCTGGGGGTCAGTCTGAGAGGTTGCGGCCCTCAAGTACTGGTCTAAGATTTCAAGTCAAACCGCTTGAATCTAGAAGACTTACCTCCTGAAAAAGATTTTGCCTGAAGACATCCACCTGCACAGAGAGCAGTACCCGGATGTTGGTTAAGGGTCTCAGTTGTCAAGAATAAGATCCCACCCACAAAGGGATTCCCTCCAACTTGGCTCAGGCCTTTCCTACCACAGGCCAGATTTCCCTGGAAGCTCAGGCTCAGTGCAGAGACTGGTCCGAGGGCAGGAATCTGGGAATCCCCCGGCAGAAGTGAAAGCACTAAGAGGTTGGGGGAGTTCTCTGGCACGGCCTTGGTCCCCTGGAGCACCCAGCCTGGCCTCCAGCCAAGAGGGCTCCCCGACACTTTCCTGGCTTCCGATCCCCCATTACCTGTTTGCGGGCTTCCCCGCTCAGGCGCACCCCACAAGGCTTGGCCATGCTGCTCCAGTTGCAATATCTCCGGTCTCCCGGCTCTCGGCTTGGTCTTTCGCTTTCACTCCGTACGTCCAGGCCCGCCCCCCTCAGCCCCGCCTCCTTCCTTCTTTTCCCCCTCCCATTGGCAGTCCACAAACTGTAGGGAGCCCCTCAGTCATTCTCAGCCTGCTGTGACTAGTAGAGGCGGTGCGGGCTCTGTCACCAGCCCAGGGGCTGTCCGAGGGAGGGGTCAGGATAAAAGTGGGACCGCGGAGACCGAACCGGGGCTGTCCCTCGGAGAAGGGGAGGGGCTTCTAGGGAGGGGGGAAGGGCGGTCCCGGGAAAATTCAGGGTTGAGGTGGGATGGCTAGGAGAGTGGGAGAAAGGGGGTGTTCAG